TCTGTGTGGTGTGGGGGGGGGGGGGGGGGGAACCGATTCCGGAATGCTGCTTATGTTGTTTTTCATGGTTGTTTCAACTTTAAATGGGTCTGACCTATAGAAGTTTAAAAGAGTTGATTAAAATGCACGTTTGTTGACCTGATGACCTGTTTGAGTGGAAACATAGTCATTAAAAGTAGAATGTACTCCACAGTTTTAAATTTCTGTGTAATTAGGCCAGCAAGGACAAGTTGTTTATTATGGTTTAATGCAATGCAGCTTTCATTTAATGTGGGTTCACTGTTAAAGCATGAAATCTCACTTCTGCTATTATGCATTTGGAAACATGTTCAATTTTCTTTATCATCGAGTCATCAAATGTCTATGCAGTTTGTGGTAATATTTTTTTTTTAATTACTCTTTTATTAAATTGTTAAAAATGGTGTGGTCTTGGGTCACTAGCTACACTACCGTTTACAATTTGGATGTTGGTAGGACTTTTTAATGTTCTTGAAAACTTATAAATGTAAACATATTTTAAAATGTGTTTTTTTTTCCTGTGATTGCAAGGCAGAATTTTTAGCAGCCATTACCTGTCTTTTAGTGTCAGAAATCATTCTAATATGCTGATTTTCTGCTTAAGGAACTTTATCAATGTCGAAATCAGTCATGCAGCTTATTGTTTTTGTGGCAACGGTGACACATATTTCAACATTCTTTCTTAAATGAATAGAAAATGCAAAAGAATAGCATTTATTCTTTTGTAACATTATACATCCCTATACCAGTGGTTCTTAAGCTTATTCATGGGGACCCCTGCTCTGCACATTTTGCATGTCTCCCTTATTTGACACACCTGATTCAGATCATCAGCTTGTTAGGAGAGAGCTCCATGAACTGAACTGGGTGCTTTGCTGTATAAAAGCATCAAGCTCTTCCAAAACGATCCTACCAACCTCAAACATTGAACTGTACTATGTGCGATGTGAAACCTTGTATCCTGCAGCAACACCACTGACAGCCACTACTCTACCTAGTGCCAATAGCGTCAGTATCCAGCACTGGGACAGGATTTGGTAAAGTGGATGTTTTTTTTGTATCAGTTTAGCTCAAGATGATGTATTTTACCCTGATAAATATTGAAATATAATAGAAATATTGAACAGTCGCAGGGTTTTTCTGGGTACAGAATATTTAAGTGAGTTCCTAGGAAACACAATAAATACCTTGTAATCATTTATAGATGAGTCACTGCCATATTGTTTAAGCTTATGCAATTACTGCTTTGCAGGAAAAGCTCTTGAATTAGCATACGGACAAACACTGATATGCTGGAATATTTATTCAGTTACTGTAATGTATAGCACTGTTTTAATACATACATTTGACTGATCAGAGCAAGGGATGTAGCAAAATAAAATGTTATACATTCCTCATAATTCACAATCATTATGTACACAGTGTAAGCATGCATCTTGCATCAGTAACATCACACTTCCAGAAAGCAGTTTCTAAAAGTCATGCTCAACTGAGATGGTCTGTCACGCAGATGTAATTTATTTGTCAAGGTTGCTATTTGAACATTCTCTATTCTCAAAGGCATTTTAATTTTTTTTTCTTTTTTTTTCTGCTGTTTATATTCTACTTTACACTAGAGGGTTTAGTTGTTTCTTCTGGACCTTTGGTGTCCACGTTGTCCTCCATGCTGCTGTCTTTGACTTGCTCTGTCTTCTCCAGAGCTTTAGCTTCTGTTTTGGTTGACGTCTCAGATTTTGCAGCCTTCACTTTATGTGCACCACTGTCTGATTCTTTGTCTTTTTGGACAGTTTCTTCACTTATAACATCTTTGCTGGTTCCACTGCCTTTGGTCATCACTCTATCCACCTCTTCAGCTTTTTCTGGCATCTCTTTGCTTTCTTTAGTGTCCTTTTGCTCAGGCTTTGCATCAGATGTTGTTTCCTGGGCTTTGGGGGGTTGATTACTCAGTGTTTCATCAAACTGTTTCTCTGTGGCTTCAGCTTCCCCTCCACTTGTTGTCACACTTTCAGCACTGCTATCACTTTTGCTGTCCTCCTGTTTCTTTAACTTCTCAGGTGATTTTTCTTCCTCAACTTTGGAGAGGTCCTCCTGTGTCTTTTCTGTTTCTCTAGGCTTAGCATGTTCACCCTTTTCTGTTTTGATACTGTCTACGCTGTCACTTTTGCGGGCTTCCTGTATCTGTGACTTTTCAGGTGATTTTTCTTCTGCAACTTTTGAAGGTTCTTCTTGTGTCTTTTCTGCTTCTTTAGGCTTAGCATGTTCAGCCTTTTCTGTTTTTACACTGTCTACACTGTCACTTTTTTGGTCGTCCGTTATCTGTGACTTTTCAGGTAGTGATTTTTCTTCCACAACTTTGGAAGGTTCTTCTTGTGTCTTTTCTGCTTCTTTAGGCTTAGCACGTTCAACATTTTCTGTTTTGACACTTTTTACACTGTCACTTTTGCGGTCTTCTTGTATCTGTGACTTTTCAGGTTGTGATTTTTCTACTTTGGAAAGTTCTTGTGTCTTTTCTGCTTCTTTAGGCTTAGCATGTTCAGTCTTTTCTGTTTTGATGCTGTCTGCACTTTTGCTATCCTCTTGTATTTGTGACTTTTGAGGTCGTGATTTTTCTTCAGCAACTTTGGAAAGGTCTTCTTGTGTCTTTTCGGTTTCTTTTAGCTCGCCAGTTTCACCCTTTTCAATTGTCACACTTTCTAGACTGCTACTGCTTTTGCTGTCCTCCTGTTTCTTTGACTTTTCAGGTTGTGATTGTTCTTCTGCATCCTTTGAAACCTTTTTTTGTGTCTTTTCTGGTTCTTCAGCCTTAATATTTTCACCTTTTCCTGTTTTCACATTGTCTACCAGTTCAGCTTTACTATCTTCTACAGACTCCTCAGGTTTGTGTTCCTTTTCGTCTTTACCTGACATATACTCTTGTTGTTTCCCCACAGGTTTCTCTGTTAGTTTGTTGTTATCCTCTTGGTCTTTTTCCATAGGCCCATAGGCTTTCTTAGTTTCTTCCTTCATACTGTCAGATTTGTCTTTTTTTGCAGAAGTATCCTCCTTTGCGTCCTCTCCAGTAGTCTGTTTTCCACTCTCGGCATGTTCGGGAGTTGCTTGTTTATCTGGTTTGGGAGTATCTTCCTCTACAGGTTTCACTGGAGCTGATTCTTTCTCTTTCTCTGCTGATTTTGCAGTTGTAGATTCTTGAGATGAGATTTTAGCATCTTCAGTTTTTGGAGAAGTTACCCCAACAGTCTCTCCACCAGGCTTAGGTTTTACTTCAGTTGTTGCTTCAGGATCTTGCGGTTCCTGAGATGGTTTGTCTTTTTCTCCAGTTTTTGATTCCTCTGGCATTTCTTGCTTTTCTGACAGATCTGGTTTGGGGACATCTTTCTCTGTCTCTTTAGCTTGTTTATTTTCCTCTCCAGGTTCTTCTACTTTTCCCTGCACGTCATCCTTCAGGTATTTGTGCTCCGTGCCTTTTGTGTCTAATTCCTCATCGTTATCTTGTTCATCAGTGGCTTCTGTAGATTCCTGAGTTGGTTTAGAGTCAGCATCTTTTTGTACCTCAGAATCATCTGGAGTTTTTTCAGCTGGCTCGTCCTCTTTATCATCACTTGGTTTGACTTCATTTTCCTCTGTTTCTAACTCAGGACTGGCTTCATTGCCGTTCTCCATGGCTGGTTCTTCAGTATCTTCCGCCTCTTGTGGAGTTTCACCCTGTGCATCCTTCTCACTGCTCTCCTCATCTGGTCTGTCACCCTCTCTCCCCTCCCCACTCTTAACCGAGCCAGTGTCTGATATCTCCACATCTTCTCTGGTGGTCTCTGTAATAATCTCTTCGACAAATTTGTACTGAGGCTCTGCTTTTCGAGTTGCTCCCGCCTGGAGAGTATAGATGGGTGACTGTCTGTAAATGTGTGGTACTGAAATATGAGCATCTGAGATTGTAGAGTACCTTGACTCTTCACCCTCCAAAAGTTTTCTGAAAAATAAAAATAAAATAAAACTGAATCATTTTCAGATTAATTATTCTCAATTAGTGACAACCTGTGTATTTTAAATCCAGGCCTAAGAAACTATATAAATAGAACATATTTTTGACAACATTCATTACAGTGCAGTCACAGCCAAATTACAGTAATACTATAATTTGGCTGTGACAACACTAATGAAATGTGTCCTATTTATTGTTTCTTAATGCAGAGGCTACTGACATTTCAAAAACTCCCACAAGCCTAAACAGACATGAAAGCCACCAACCAAATCATGAAATGACACTCAATTTTGTTCAAACTCATTGTAATCAATCAACAAATTAACTGTCATTAAAAAGCACTTAGTATTGATTATTTGAAATTCAAATTAGCCTAACTGTCTAAATACCACAGTCATGTAAAACTTTGCAAAGCTTTGTTCACTCTCTAATTGCTTATGTCACTTAATACATGATTGTGTTCCTTGAAGGCCTCTACGATAATATTATCTGCAAGACTACACCTTCCAGGCAGTTTGGTTGGCTGATTAAGCTGACAATCTGTTCATTTGCACTGTTGAGGGACTCACAAGAAATAAATTCTGATTGGATAAACACTACTTGCCAAGCGGACCGAATCAGGGATGGAAAGCAACTGATAATACATAATCAAATAAAGATAAGAGATTTTTTGATACCTGTTAAGAAGGCTTTGCTGGTCCTGAGAGTTCATTATTAAGTGAACAGTAAAATGGTGTGTAATCAAAGAAGTACCTGTAGGAATAAATTTCAGCATCCAGTGCCATTTTGACATTGAGAAGGTCCTGGTACTCCCTCAGATGACTGCTCATGTCATATTTAGCATTTTTCAGCTCAAATTCCAACTCTCTGATTGTGTCCTGCACCATGGACAAAATAAGTAAACACAATGGAAATGCATAAGAAAAAAAGCCACATGACATGGTACTGAATCTTAGATTATGTAGGATTGGTGTATAAAGTACTCAACTTGCTACTTAATCTTGATTTAAACAGAAATGTTCAATCAAATCCTCAAACTGAATTATTAAAATGTTCTAGGCAGAACAGTGCATCACATGGTGTGTTACCTGGTAGTGATGGATTTCAGCATTGTGCCGTTGTTCGAGGTCATACAGCTGCTTCTCCAGCGCTTCTCTCACACCTTTCACAGAGTCGAGCTCAATGTTCCTTGACTGGAGCTGTCTCCTGTGTTCATTAATCTCTGCTTTAGTGGCCATGAGCGCTTCTCTGTTGACCTCAGCAGCTTTGGTCAGTTTAGCGAGCTGCGCTCGAAAGCGTTCCTCAGCATCTCGGATGTCAGAGTCAGTGTGACCTTCAAGTTGCATCCTGATGTCTCTCAGAGCTGCAGTGACATCCCTTCTACTAAAATCACTCATTTCTGCTGTCACATGACCCTCTTGGATTTGGGCCATCATTTCAGCTACCTCACTTTCATGATTTTTCTTCAAGAAGCCGATCTCCTCTTCAAGAGCTTTAGCTTTTCTGTCCATTTCTTGTTTGGTTAGGTATGCGTCATTAATGCATTTCTTTAGTACTGAAATGCTGTCCTCCACATCACCTCGACCATGAGCCTCTCTCTCATACTTTTCTCTCAAAGTGTTAAACTCATCCTCCAGGTTCTGGCGGTTTATCTCAATTTGATGCTTTTGATGGCCTATCTCATGAACTTGCTGCCTCAGACTACCAAGTTCTGATTCATACTCTTTGGACAGCGAGGCAGAGGATTTTGCTCTCAGTCTAATGGCCTCAATTTCTTTCTCTACCGCTCTGTTTTGGTTTTCCAGGTGATGAACTTTCTCGATGAATCCCGCGAAGCGGTCATTGAGCCCCTGCAGTAATTCTTTCTCACTAATTTTCCTCGGATTCATTCCACCTGCATATTTGTTCGAAAAATCCAAGCTATCGGCCGGTTTAGCGGCGAATTCGCTAAGGATTTCGTTACCTCTCAGCGGTGCGGTGGAGCCAAAGCTGAAGGCAGACCTTGAGGTGAGTTGTGATGAAGGTCGCGCCGTTTGGTACCGGTACTCTTCCCGTGTCCGGCCAGGTGAATGCAGAAGACGCTCCATTGTGAAGCTGGTGCGTTTTCCTTTGCAGCGTTTAGTGAAAATGGTGCCCTTTATATACTGCAATAGATGCTAGGTTAGCGGAATGGAGCTGTCCATACTGGTTAAATGCACAGAATCAGCTGTTCGGCTCAGCATCCTGCGCACTCACTCACTCACTCCTCGATCTCCAGGGAGCTGACGTGAAGTCACATGAACTCCTCTCGTCCGCAGATTTCCATTTTATATTCTGCCGTAAAATATTTTGTTCAGTACGTTAGCGAAGCTAGAGTACATATATGTTGTAAAATGTACAGAAAATGCACCCTTAATGCCATATATTATGTATAATGCCGTAATTATTTATGTAACTATTACTTTTTATAATAAAGTAATAATGTAGGAATTAGTTAAGTACTAGTAACGGTTATTAATTTTTATACTTATTGATTTTTTACATATCACGAGTTTGCACAGTATGACTCCCCCTTATTAAAATAGTGTATGTATAGGCTACAATTACATAAAAATATAATGACATCATCATCTTCCCTTTCAGGGTTTGAACTCCTGAAATACAAGTAACTGCCTCCTCCCCCACCCAAATCATACAAAATCATATCAGAAGAGGACCATCTGTCAACCCTGTTATGTGTACAGAAATATCAGCATTAAAATCTCCTTATGTCAAACTCCTTATAGTGTCAGGACCTTCTGCACAAGGTTATCAATGGCTAAATGAACCGTAAAGCCATTTTACATTTAAAAAGACATAGCTAGGCCTACTATTACCTTAACTTGGTCACACTTTAGTTTGGTGAACAGTTCTCACATTTAACTAACTATTAACTACGACTTTTGCCTCAATAAACTTGATACATATTAATAGTTACGTTTAGGTATGGGGTAGGATTAAAGGATCTAAAATATGATCATGTAAAATAAGGAATTAATATGTGCTTTTGAAGTACTAATAAACAGCCAGGTAATATGCATGCAAATAAGCAAGTGAGAATTGGTCCCTAAACGTAAGTGTTACTGTAAACTTATATTAAAAATGTAATAGCCTGTGGCTTGAGATGGCAATTTGTCTGTTAAGGCATCTGAGTTAAGGCTGCTCTGTGCCTGCTCAAAATTCTGTTTAAAGACACAATGTTGCATAAGTCATACTAAATTATGCCTGCTCTGACCCAACTCAGCCCCTGTAATATCAAAGTATATGGTTATCATTGCTGTGTAAATGGATTTATGCCATCTCTGAGCAGCATTAAGCAGTATCATAAACAGAGTAAATTTGGAATTAGAATATTTAAAAACTCCACATATATGTTCCTTTTAAAGTTGTTTTCTTATATTTTTGGAGATGCACTATTGTTGTCTGCTAAGGTATTGTTGTTATGGTTTAAAAATCTATATTCCAACAAGCTCAGGAAAATGTTGTATACTGTAGTGTATATGATTTTCAGCAGAACTGTGACTGCTTTTAATCTATGTTGGTGTTATTATTTAAGAACATTACCGTTTCCTCATTGTCAGATTTGCAGATATTTTACTGCAGTAGCAACATTCTTCAAGCTATAATGTACATGTTTGTGCTGCAGAAAAGCGCAAGTCAGCTCTACACTTTCAGTCATGCTGAGCGGTCACTGTGAGCTGGATTCAATCCAAGAGCACGGCGTCTACATGAGCAGCCAATAATAACATACGCACAACATGTCTGCCTTCTCATGTGAGTGCATCTAAATATGTACTTTAAATTTACTGTATAACACATTATTTATATAGTCTGACACCATTAGTACTTGCTTATATTTAGCATATTTGTTATTTTGGTATGTCCCCTTTTTGCTTTAATGACAGCAGAATTAACTGGAATAGATATAGAAAGGGGGCTCTGCTTACTGATGGGGAAAACAAACCCTGGTTTCCATAAAAAATAATCAATAGATTTAATTTTATTATTATTATTATTATTATTATTATTATTATTATTATTATTAATGACTGTGAACGTAAAATACCATGAAAGTTTTTTTTTTTTTTTATTACTCCAGATAAAGCTAAATTCCTGCAGCTAATTGACTAAAAGAAATCTGAAATCTGAACATAGAATACTAGCAATTTAGCTTGTATTCACCCAGCTTGTACTGATCTAAATGTGCATGTCTGTTTTAAATAAACTATAAAGTAAACAAGCTAATGCTTAGTTCCACTAAAAATAAAGATGCTGCACTCCGACCAGGTGTCATGTTAATTTATCAACATAATTCTTTGTATTTCATGTTTAAACAACTAAAACCACTGATAATGTTCAATATTCCCTTCAGTTCAGACACATACAGTCAGCTGTGCATCATAAAGTGGAATAAAGAAAAATAAATCTCATCATAAAAAAACTGCATGTGAAAATCTGTAATTTTATTAAATGTGTGTACAAATTGAGGCTTAACTGATAAAATACACTTGAAAAGACATACTGTAAATACTACATTATGTCATAATGTTTATAATAAACATTTGGAGAAACAGATTATATCAAAATAATTTGTAATATATTATATTTAACTCTGCTAACACTCAGTAGATCAAAAAGGAAAAAGTATTGCTAAGTTCATTACATGAGTGAAGATTACGACTGGAACTTGAACAGAGATTTAATTATTCTCTCTTAATCATCTTTGTTCTCTGTTCTAAAGGAATGAAAGAACGTCCGGATCCCATATGTGTCCCGTCTGTCATTCTGAAGGACTTTTCTCAGTCTGTTTCTGCATGTGATCCATTCGGTGGACACTCGCCCCAGCATCATTCCTTGTTTGTAATGCTCAACCGCAGCTTTCTCTGAGCCCCACCTGTACTGTTTGAAATCCCCATACATGCGATGCCAGGCCTGACGATCAGCTGGCTTCAGGTCAGGAAGGGCAAACAGCTCAGTGAACTTCTGCTCTGCTTTAGCCATCTGCTTTCGTTCTGCATACCTCTGCGCTAACTCCAGCTGTGGGTATATGTAGCTTGGGTTTAAACTGGCACCCTTCTCTAAATGCTGAATGCAAAGGCCCAGCAGCTTCGGATTGTGTGTGTCATTCATCTGCATGGCTTTCCAGCGGTAGTTGTTGGCAATCTCATGATGTAAACGTGACGAGTCTGGTGCTATCTTCAGCATTTCCAGCAACACTTTCAGGGACTTGTCATAACACTGCTCTTTCTTCATGAACTTTGCAACACGCAAAACAACGCTGAGGTTTTCTGGAGCCATCGCGAGCGCTTGCGTCATGTACTGCCATGCCTCTGCGTTATTTAAAGTCTTCGTGTTCTTGTAGCACTTAAGCCCCAGATACACATGGATCATTGCATTGTCCGGGTCCAGGTTCAGAGCTTTCTTCAACTGGAGCACAGCAGGAGACTCTTCAAACCGTACACGCTTGTATTGACCAATCTTCAGTCCCTCCAGACGGAACAGAGAAAAAGCAAAGCCTGTGTTCCATTCCTTGTCATCCAGCTCTTTCTGTAAAGCTTCAAGGAAACTCTCCTTGGCCCTGATGTAGGTCTTTCTAGAAAACTTGAGAAGTGACCAGGCTTTTTCACTTTGAACTTCTCTGTGAAGCTCTGTTGGAGACGGAGCAGGGAATGCTCTAAGGATTTCATTCACTTTCTCGATGTAAGTCTCCGCCTTAGTCACACTGCCCATGAGACTGTGCACCCAGGCCAAGTTTCCATACGTCACAATCACACTGCTGTCATCGTCTGGATGTTCCTTCTTTGCTAGTTGCAGGGTCTTAAGCGCCTCGTCGTCAAATCCTTGTAAATGTTTAATAAAAGCCAAAAAATTGAATTCTCTTTGTTTCAGGTTTCCTTCATACTCGCATTTCACTGCCAGTCTTTCACGAATTTTCACTTCGAGAAAATTAAGGTCAGCATCCTCCTTTTGCAAGTCCCAAGTAAAGTGGCAGGACAACAGTTTAAGCTTGTCCTCAGACATTCCTGTATTGTTAATGCAAAATAGATGTAAATGTTTACACTCTTGCAGTTTTTCTGTCTCAGTTTCCTTGAATCCGTACAATACAGTATATTTGACTGACAACTTATTTTCAATAGGATTTACAGATACAAACATTAAATAATCAGTCAAATATAATTTCCATAAAGTGCGGTCTTAAATATTATTTAAAAAAAAATTTTAAACTTTAAATAATCAGTAAAATATAATGTCCTTAAAGTGCTTTCTTAAATATTAAATTTTTTTTGTAATCTTAATTAAAAAGTATTCTTGATTACAGGCATTCACTGATATACAGTATCTTTTAATAGCAACAGTTTCTGCTTATTTTATTCACTTATTAAAAGAATTAGGTAACACTTTTTAAGGTGTTCTTGTTACGTGTAATTACTAGGCTATTATAATAACTATAAATTATGCACAATTACATGCAAGTAAACCTAAGACAAACCCTAATCCTAACCATATAGTAAGTACATGTAGTTAATTAATATTACTCAGTACTGAAATGTATAATTACACTGTAACAAGGACACCTTAAAATAAAGTGTAACCAGAATTATTAATCCCATTATGAAAACAGATACAAAGTCTTACCTTCTAGCTTCTACAACTTTGGCCTCTCATCAAAACGTTGTCTGGTTGAATATAGTCGCTGGGGATGGTTTTTATAGGGTAGGGTAGATTACTTATTTTGGGGACAATAACGAGCCAAGTTTCGCTTTCCACCTATTGCTCTGATTAACGATAAACGAAACTGTAAGGGTGCAACGTCAACAATCCAGTAAAATGTAATAGGCTGCTTCTGTTTATGCGTGCCAATCAACAATTCAAGATCACATAAGCGATGTGTAAAAAGACTTTCAACGGCAGAAGGAAAAGTTTCAAGTGTATTTCATAGATTCGTGACTTTAAATGTGATAGATGTGACTTTAAATAAAGGAAAAATTGTAATGTGCAAAAAATAATAAGGAAAAGTACAAATAATTATGATGCACGCACAGTACTACTTACAACTAATAAATTGCAAGCAGATGAGTAAGTAGCCTACTAACAACTCAATAGATGTTTGCATGGGACAAATAACTTGAAACTGAAGAGCAATGTCGCCATCTAGTGGCGAAACTTTATGACGCTGCACTCCTTTAAATTTGGCAAAAATATATATATTTTTTTGTAATAATAATATGTACAGCCTTTGCTACAATGTTTG